TGCAGCGTGTAGTGTACAATGGACATAAACATGTGCATGCACTTAAATTCCAATCAGTTGCTCTGCCTAATGGTTTAATAGCCAATCTATATGGTCCTGTCGAGGGACGTCGCCATGATGTAGGGATGTTAAAAGATTCTGGCCTACTAGGTTCCCTGGAGCTTCACGCCCATAATCCAGATGGGCAACTCCTTTGCTTGTATGGAGACCCAGCTTATCCACTTCGCCCACAGTTAATGGCCCCCTACCGTGTTGGTGATGTGCAAGTATTAACAGAGGATATGAAAGAATTTAATCGAGCAATGAGCTCCTTCCGAGTTTCTGTGGAATGGTTGTTTGGTGATGTTGCAAACAGTTTTAAATTTATTGATTTTAAGAAAAATTTAAAATTACGGCTTAGTGCAGTTGGCAAATTTTATGTTGTTGCTGCATTGATGAGAAACATATTAACATGTCTCTATGGGAATACTACTTCAAAGTACTTTCACATTGATCCACCGACCATCGACTCTCACTTAGGGGTGCATAATTAGATGTCCTGGGATTAGGGGGGGGGGGCATTTGAAATAAAGTGTAATAAACATGTAAATCACAATGGCAAAGCTAGCCATGGTAACTGCTATGCTAATAAACCTGCATTTCTAAATGTTTGAAACTTTGAATAATGCAACTATTACAAATTTGTATAGCATGACTATATAGCTTTGGCACTGATTGCAGAATATAAAAAACACACAGATAGAAGATATAATACTGGAATAACATGATATTTTCTATTACTGTATGTTACCAAATTGTACCTTAATTAGGCTATATAACAAGGAAAATGAAAAACATTAACTTCAACTTAAAAACCACAACATTAGTGACATTTAATGTCACTTTATATATTAAATAAATGTCACTTTGATAGTTTCTCAATGACAGTAACAAATAAATTTTGTGTGTTTTTTTTGTGTTTCCATCATTTGCTGTAACTGTAGTTGTTGCAACTGAAGTTGCTGCTTCTGTTGTTCAGCTTTAAGTTGTAGTTCTTGTCTTCTGATTTCTAACTCTTCTTTCCTCAGCTCATTTTCATTTGTTGTTTTCTGAACTAAATATTGAATGGGGTCTGTACAACTTCTTCTTTTTCTTTTCCTTGCAGGTTTAGGCTTCTCTCCCAGATTTTCATCACCACTGTCTTCTTCATCTTCAACTTGCTCATCCTCACCATGCTTTGCTGCCTTCTTCCAAGTTGTCATTGCAATTTCTCTGGTAGCAAGTGCTTCCTTTCTCTTTTTTTCTTCATTTCGGGAGTCAACAGCTGGATTCTTAATTGGAGTTGACTCCAGCATCTCGATAATCTCTTCTAATATTTCTTCGTTTTCAGTTGGTGGGTCTGGGGTAATACCTGAAGCTTTTTCTTCCATGGACTTCTTTTTTTTGTAGTTTCCCATTATCTTATTGAATTGATCTCGAACACTACGCTGATCTCGGGGCATGTCATGAAACAAAACAAAACAATTAAGATTGTCGGCTACTAATGTCCACTTTTGTCCTGCTTCTTTGCTTCCGGCCTTGGATAAGAAAGGTTCAGACACGTAAGCTTCACGCAGAAGTAAGGTGTTCCTTTCATTGCTCCAGCGAAAGGGCCCCTAAAACCAAGGCATAGTAGATAGTTTTTAAATAAATAAATTTGCATTCAAACCATTAATACCATTTCATATGAAGAATAATTAAATCAGACCATGTGTAACAAATGGCTTGATTATAATGAGTGCCAACTTGGCACTATGAGCTGTATGAATTTGAGCCAGAAGTCTTAATTTGCTGCCTAGAGTACATCCCAGCAATTCCATTTAATATACATTACAAACCATTATAATATAACATGCGGAAATTCTGAATGCTGATTGGATAAGAGCCGTGTTGACATAACTGAATGTCAACACGGAAAAATTTCCCACCGCTCTTTAAATTTATTTTAATGTTGTACAGTTATTTCATTGTGCTATATTATAAAGCAAATATAAAACTTTTTTCCGTGTTGATATACATACAGTTATATCAACACGAGTGGAAATTGGGAAAACGAGAAATTGTGTGGAAACACGACGCCCAAAGGGTAAAACAAGTTTTTACTGTATATATCTAACAAAAATTTCAATCCCTTAAAGGAGAACGCTAGCTTGTATCTGGATATTAGAACATACCTATATAAGGGTGGGTATATACATGTACATGGGAATAGAGTAAATATCCAATGTGTTTTCTTTTATGTGGTCATTTGAATAGCAAAATCATTGCAAACATAATACATTCATAAGGTTTGTCTCCAGTATGTGTTCTTTTATGTCAACAAAGTTGTGTTGACTAAGCTCAGGTCAATTTGTTATACAGTATATTGATTTATGTATGTTTATCTTGTAGCAATTGTCACAGGTTGATAACATACAAATGATATAATATACATATAGTAATACTAATTGCACTGTATTAACATACAGTTATTAGTAATACCAATCTTGACAATGAATGTGATTTGCTTTATATTCGTGGCTAATTTAAAACACGTTTCTGATATCACAAGCAAAAAATAGCCATAAAATTCCACTTCCTAAATATACTTTATACCTGGAATTGTTCAAACTTTCACCTTGTCCATCTGGTTTTTCACTAAAACCATTCAAATGGAACACATTAATGTCAAATGTGGTTGATTTGTTGATCAATAACGAGGTTAAAAATTCTATTATTTATATCTTAAAATACGCGCAGTATGAGGCACATTAAATTAAAAAAAAAAAACATTTTCAACGCTTGATTTCAATATAAATATTGCATCCTGTCCACCTCTCCAACCTTGACTAGTTGTTTTCTTCATTAAAATATTGACTAATAGTATTGTATATACTTTATGGCTCAAACTGAGGGACACTTTCAGAATTTCAGTGCTAATATAATTTTTAAAAACGTTGTTGTTTTCGAAAACGGATACCACGAAACATCACATAACATAATCCAGCATAAAACTATACATTCAAAAATCAGGCACACAATGAGAAAATCATACCTGGCTTTTTCCATGTTCGTTTCCGGTCTTTCCGTTTCGTTTTAGCTGTTAAAATAACTTGAATCACTTTCAAACACGAGTAAAATCTATCTTAAACATTTTGTTTGAACAAAACACAGTTTAAACAAAGAAAAATAAAAAATATAGAGCAAAATTTACTTACGTACTAGAGACTACGTGAAAAACCTGGAAAACTGTCGTAGCGAGTGGGAACACAACGAACAACGTAATTATGCTTGGTCTTGAGCATGCGCAAAGCACCTCTACCCAGTTCTCTCTCGTCCTCATTCGTTGTTCGTTGTCCGTAGTCGCCAATCTTAAAGTCCCTATTATCTATTTGAACAGCCACATTAACAGTCTCATCATTATTAGCAATAGGAAGCATATCTGGAAGACTCTGTATATATGCATATCTGCCCTCATCTCACAGATATTATGAAGCACACGGCATGCTGCAACTTTAGTTGGAAGGTAATCCAAACATGTGTAGCTTTAACTGAGCAAGCATCTGTATCTATTCTTCAACCTTCCAAATGCACATTCGACTACTTGTCGTGCTCTGCTTAAACGATAATTGAAGTTCTTCTGATCTTGAGATAGATTACCATTGTTTGTATATCGCTTCATTAGCCAAGGCAGAAGTGGATATGCTGGATATCCAATTAACATAACTGGTACATCAGACCCACTTATGTTTACTGTTATCTGAAAGATAACAAAATGTGGCATAAATATGTTGCATTTAATAATAAAAAAATTATGATTTAACTCATAAAGTTTCATACAACTTACATCCGGGAAAAAGAGCCCAGCTTCAGCCTTTCTAAAAATACCCGAATTTGCCAAAATTTGTGCGTCATGAACCTTTCCGGGCCATTTGATGTTAATATCTGTAAATCTATAATAATTAACATGAAAAGTCAAGAATATGATGCTTTAAATATATTTTAAATGGAGGCTTGAAACTGTTGTGATGGAATGGATCATAATAAATAGAATGGATTGTTTAAAGGCAAAATACTCTCTCACGTGAATGAAAAACTACTGAAAATAATAAAGCATGAAAAATATAACTAAACCAAGAATAAGGGCAGCCTCACATATCGATTTTGTCCATGAGAAACGTCATATGTTCGTTTCTCTGGAGACCCCCCCCCCCACCCCCCTTAGAAACGTCACACATAGTTATCGATATTTTGTTCTTACAGTACACTATGAGTACACATAAGGTAATTTTCTACTATTTTTTTTCGGTCGGCTATTGGCGATGCTTCCGCGAGGAATATGTCATCTTCTGCTGACATACTCTTTTTTTATTAATATATATATGAACTTCAAAATTTCCAGCGTTTCTCAAAACAACTTTTTTGGATGAAATATTGATAATTTTAGCACGTTTTTCTTGAAATTTGAGTGTTTTCAATGCAAGGAAGGCGTAATAATATAAATGTATAGGTATAGAACAGGTATGGTATTACGAATATATAGACTGCTGTTTGTATCAAATTGTTTTCTTTTTTATATTCTGCAAAGATAAAAACTATCGAATTTTTCCATGATGTTTACAGAGAAACGTCACAGCTGCCCCCCCCCACCACCCAAACGAACATATGACGTTTCTCGTGCAAAAATCGATATGTGAGGCTTCCCTAAACAAACGTCTTAATTCTACATAATTCAGATTCTATAGATTGGTGTTCAGGTGTTGTTGTACCTGTATTTGTGATCAACCACAGCCTGCAGAACGATAGAGTAAAAACCCTTTCTATTATAGTAATCTGTTGATGATTGAGGTGGTGCAACAATGGGGATATGCGTGCCATCGATTGCTCCTGCACATTGGGGAAAACCCCAGACCTGGAGAAAACCATCAAGGACAGTGCGTAGCGCTCCACCAGTTGGCCATTTCAAGACTGTAGAGAGTAGAACATCTACAATTGCTTCGTAAACGTCATTCACAATTTCACAAGCTGTGCTCTTTCCAACACCAAAGCGCCATGCTAAAGAAGGGAAATCTTCTCCAGTGCCCAAATGCCATAAGCAAATTGCAAATCTTTTTTCGACAGATATAGCTTTTCGGAAGGTTGTGTCTTGACGCAAAAGATTACCAGATATCTTGTGACACACGAAATCAAAAGTTCCCCGAGACATTCGAAAGTTTTCAAGCCAAAGACTGTCCTCTTTCCAAAGAGCAACCGTTTTCTCCCAAAAAGACGCAATGTCTCTACTTTCTTGAACCCAAAACCTTCTTTCAGTGAATAATCGATTACCAAATGCTCGAAAATACAAAAATAGCGTTTCTTCTCAATTGATTCGTTATTTTTAAAAACTGCTTCCTAAAACGCACATGATTCCTTTCGATATTTTTCTCGTAATTAGCAATTATAGTGGCCAAAACGACAGAAGATATATCTGCCACCTCGTCTGCCGCCATCTTGTTTTGAAAAACCGATCATACTTTGTTATGACGTTAGACGATGTGCTTCCGAAGAGATCCGTGCAAAAAAAATATGAAATGACTAACAAGGATTGATGTAGTGTGAATCTTCCAATAATACGTTTGAGATCGATCTGAGATCGATCTGAGATCGATCTGGCAAATCGATCTCAGGTCGATCTTAGTGTGAACAGGCCCCAAATGTTCAATATTTGTTTTCCATACTTTTATAGACCTTCAATGGCAATGGGCGCCGTGCAAGTTGAAAATTACACATCTACTTTTCAAATGCAAGTTGTAAAATCAACTATTGTATTTATACCCGTTGCGTGTGACCTTTTTATACTGTATATAGTTTGCTATACAATACTGGCCGGCCTACGATGAATCTTTAATTAATACGGCAAGCGAAAATGCGTGTAGAGTCGTAGGATATTTTATACTTGCACTATAGCCTATATAAAATTCCCTGAGCTAGTGCATGTCAGTTTATTAATTTACAGTCGTTAAACATACAGAAACAGACTGGTAGACAGTTATTAGACACACATACATTGAAATATTATTTATAGCTATAATTATAAGCATTTGTTTGAATTTTTGTTCGTATTTTGATTGACCGAAAGGTTTATTATGATATAAAGTGATGCTAAAGGCAAACTTTGAACGAGTGATGGAAATTACCTTTTCAACTTCAAAAGTAAGTTTGTGCCAAAGTGTTTTCAACAACAAACAAGATAGCCATGTATTGTCAACAAATACTTTTCTAGGTTTGATTTCTTCTTTTCATCACTATATTTTCACTTGAATGTTAGTCACCGCACGTTTCTTCATCACAGCTCGCTTTGTTCCCATGCGAGTGTTCACTTTCTGAAGTTTCTGACTCTCCTTTGTACGAAGACATTGTTGAAATAGTAGTGAAATACAAAAAAAAAACATTCGACTGTATTTTCCGAACATGAAGTATCTAAAGTAGTTGTCATGTCACCGTTGATAAGTAAAAGAACTGAAAATCAATTGAAAAAAGCCAGACAGTCAAATACAGACGAGGATTGGAAACTGTATAGATCGTTGCAAAATCAAGTTAGAAAGTCGCAAAAGGCTAAATGCAATTACAATAAGAAGCTAATCCAAGAAAATAGTGATAATCCAAAAACCTTTTGGAAGACTATGGATAAAATCCTGCCAAATGAAAAAAAAAGCGTGTTCCTTCTGCGATAAACATTGACGGAAACTTGATAACTGATAGGAACAAAATTGCTGATGCCTTCAATTCGTATTTCATCGGATTTGTTGGATGACTCGCTGCATTACTCGGCTTTCCAAGTAAAGATCAAAATACTTATAACTCGGATTTTTTGAACATATTAACGAAAAATTCCTTCAAGTTTATCTCAGTTGCAACGAATTTCACATTTGAGTTTTTACGGAAACTTAAAGTGCAAAAAGCGTCCGGTCTAGATCAAATGCCTGCTCAGCTCATGAGAGATGCGGCTGCTGAAATATGTAATCCACTCACGAAGATAATAAATGCCTCTTTGGAAACCGGTCACAGTTCCTAGCGAGTGGAAAGTTGCCAGAGTGGTCCCATTATTTAAATCGGGTAAAATCACCGACCTCGACAACTACCGACTAATTTCTATATTGCCGGTAGCCTCAAAAATCCTAGAGAGAGCTGTACATACCCAATTGTACAGTTATTTAACAATGTATCACTACTTAAGTCCTTATCAATGTGGCTTTCGAAAAAGTCATTCGACCGGCTATTGCTTTTACAGACTCTATTCGCCGAAATATGGACCAAGGTCTTTTGACTGGGTCTGTATTTATAGACCTTCGCAAGGCATTTGATACCATTGATCAGTCTGTGTTATTGAATAAATTAACGAAATATCGAATAAACGACCTTGAACTTAAATGGTTTAACAACTACCTATTACGACGATCACAGGTAGTTTGGTTGGGAAATGTTCTTTCAGAACAGTGTCAGGTATTATCTGGTGTTCTTCAGGGATCTATTTTAGGCCCCTTGCTGTTTGTTATATTTGTGAATGATCTTCCATCCGTTTTTTCGAAATGTCAAGTTCTCATGTACGCAGACGACACTGTGATTTACTACGCATCAAAAACTGTTCCTGAAATCGAACAGATCCTAACCAATGAATTTGCCTGTCTGTGTCAGTGGCTCTTGGATAACAATCTTTTCCTGAATGTGAAAAAAACTGAATATCTTCAGGGGCGGATTTAGACCGTTGCAACCGTAGCATTTGCTACGGTCAGATTTTCCCAAGATATATTTTTCCAGGGTGTACCTTTGAAAAATTAAATAATTAATTATACTAGTGCAAATATTTTCAATTCTTCATTGCTAATTAGTGCAATTTTTTTCCAATTTACTAAATTATATTGATAAAATTTTCTCGAGTTTTTATTTCATTTTGGACAATTAAATTTGGGATTTTATCAAATTTCCACCACAAAATACTGCCCGTATTTGCAGGTTTTACAGCAATACTAAATCTCATCATTCTGAAGTCGAAGCAAGCCAATCAGAATGAAGCAAAATGCTACTGTTTGCAATAGTCGAAGCGACTTCAGAGCGATGTTGACTTGTTATTGTCTAAATTTTAATCGCCGCTCGTTGCAAGGACAAAATATGGCGGCTTGTACGTTTCCACTCGACGAGCTTCTGTGTATTATGAACGAACGTGTTTCTTTTAACGAAAAGGCGACTAAACTAGCCTCCATTAAATCTCTGTGTGAGAAAATGGTTGTGGATGAATCGCGAAATAAGTCAGATCGAAACGTTTTGGTTCCCGCGAAGTGAACAACAGTGCTGTTTGAATCACCTCCCTGTCAGGTCAGTCTTATGAATATATTACTGTAAATATGTAAATAACATATCGAATTGTTTACACAGTTCATTCGTCTCGAATATATTACCATATTTGTGCTCATGAAACGTATTACAGTATTATAAAAATAGTTATACTATTACAGGACAATGCCAATGGTCTCTCATACTATTTGATAGCCATTGCCATTGGCATGCCATGTGTGTTTATTTTAAGAAATATGTAAGTTAGTCTGCTATATATTTTATATCTTAGACTCTGCTCATGTAAGTTTATTGTAGACCTGCTGTAGTCTATGTCTATGAAGACTAGTGAGTGGTGTCAACATTATAAATTTATAGAATGTAGTTTACATGCTGTATAATAACAGAGTTTAGAATTGTGGGATAATATATCATAAAATATATGGTTAGGTGTTTCAAATCCATGTATTGTATGTGGTCCTTGTGAATGAAAGTGCCAAACAGTCAAACCAAATACTCCAAATGCACCTAATAATAACCATATTATTTCCTCAACAACAGTAAATAAGTTATAACTTATTTACTGCTGTTCAGGAAATGCATTTTATGGCTTCAGGACTGTTGTTGTAGTACCCTGGTTCCAGAGGCTGACTTTTACGAGGCGAAAGAAACGAGAGGCGAGAACGGAGAGCCTCTGGTCACATCGATTGCAAATCGCACTTCCACACTTGATTAGGTTCAGAATTTGAATCTTGCATGTGATCAAGTGTGGAAATAGGATTTGTATTCGATGTGACCAGAGGCTCTCTGTTCTCGCCTCTTGTTTCTTTTCTGGAACCAGGGTATTGTTACAATGCACTGTTGTTGTTTTGCTTGACCCTGTGGAGGGCAACTAACACAGGTTAGGGGAATATAACATTTTCAATTTACCAGATCCTGGGTAAATAATATTCAATGAAAATATCAAAATGTTGGCCCATTGAGCCCCAGTGCACCCTTAATATTTTTTTACTTGTCTAACGCCAGATGATCTTACTTGTCAAAGGGGAAGCTCTGCAGTTTAATGGGTTAACCAAAAAATCTGACAATGTCTCTAGTTAGCCCATTGAGTCGCAATATGTCCCAGTGCGCCCTACGTACATTTTTTTACTTGTCTAACGCCAGATGATTTTACTTGTCAATGGGGAAGCTCTGCAGCTTAATGGGTTAATATGTCTTTGTTACTCTGTATTTGCCCACCTTACACATGATACTGCAAAATATTGATTGGTGCATAAAAGGTAATATCAGTGATTAATTAACTGATTCACGGCACCATTGGTCAGCTTAATTAATTTTATGAATGTATAATTATTC